GGGGGGGGGAGAGGGGGGGAGTGAAGAGAGAGGGAGAGAGAGAGGGAGAGGGAGAGAGGGAGGGAGGCAGAGAGGGAGAGAGGGAGAGAGGGAGAGGAGAGTAAGAGAGAGGGAGAAGGGGAGATGGAGAGGGAGAGGAAACGGAGAGGGAGAGAGAGAGAAACACAGGGACACACAGATATGGAGACAGGCAGAAAGAGTATTCGGTGGACTGTGTCGCATAAGAGCTACGCATGCGTAAAGACGGTATCGACAAACATGGTGTTCTCCAAGTGTCGCGTCAAGAGCTTGCTATGTGGAAAACACATGTTGATCGGCGGTCACGTCCCTCCCACCCTTGCAAGAACAATATCGGGCGGGGTGAAGGTACACGGTGGGCACGATACTCGCGGACGTTAAATCATGGATTGGCTCAAGAGTGGCAGATTCTCTCCCGGCACACACCAAGTCATGGATGGCGTCAAAAAGCCTGCGGCTGTTGCCTGAAAATTCCTAGAGGCCGTAAACACAACGTCTAGTTTCCCCGCTGGAATTCGCGTGGTTTGCATGCAGTATTGATACACTTGTCGCAGAGGTGGCACAACCCCAATCACTAGCGGGAGGGGCTAGAGTGGGGGGGCGAAGGTGTGCCATGTACAGGGGAGACGACCTGGCTGCACCCATACGCCGTTGGGCCACCAAGTGAGGTCTGAAATCTGAGATAGCAGGAGAGCGCACAGCCGAACAGCATCCGCTCTGCGTGTAAAAAAAAAAAACGAACCTCGTCGTTGTATACGTAGCTTGGCCACACTGATCCGGTTCCATCGGGGGGGAGCACTAGCACACATAGAGAACTTCGTGACAAGAGACTAGGTGATAGGCTTCGGTCGTCATGCTACTACCGTCCGCAGCGCAACTGCCTTGTCGACGGTGAACGAGCTGCTGCAAGGGCACAACGCCAACGAACGGCCGGTTCTACATGTACCGTCCAATGATACATACGCTCATCGCCAGCACGCTAAAAGGGTATCTCGGGAAACGCCATTTCCGAAACCGCACGCTCTCAACTTTGCTGCTGTCACGCACCTCCTCTCCAGGCGATTGGGCACGACGTCGCCAGGGTAGGCGATGGGCCATGCCGCATAGTACCAGTAGCGGACATGCTTGTTCCAGGCCCAGACGAGCAGCGGCACCCCGATTGCCGCCAAAGCTCTGGACCATAAACAGCCAAGACAGAGAGGTCGAGAGGATGGTCGGTGGGAAGGACGGGGGGGGACTTGTTGGCGCGGCGACGACAGCCTCGTTGTGTGCATGTAGGCCACGTGTTGCGACAGCATGCTGCGCATGATCCCGCTGGATGCGGCCGCTGTCCATGGGGCCAGAACGAACGGCAAAAGAACATTTCGACTCAACCACAAGAGAGGAACGATATTGGTGGATCCCAGCCAATGCAACTGGCCAAACAGGGACACGATCAAGAAATGACTCTCACCCGCAGAGCGCCGCTGGGTCTTCGAGTGAGATCATCACAGCCCCTTTCGTGTGGGCAGGCGGTGTCGTCTTTGCTTGCGTCAAGAAGCAAGGCAGATTTGACAGTTTGATGAGTTCGATGCGGCGCAATTTACGATTCCGCGTCACTCCATCGCCAAAAGAGAGCACTCTGTGATGCCCCCGCGCAAGGGAGAAACGGCGTGGGCGCACATTACACGAGCGCACGACGCGGGAGAGAAGCACAGCATCAAAGACAAGTGAGTGCACCATTGGAGTCATCACATCGCCTGCGATATATTTGAGGCGTAACGCATCGCCCTTTCTGCGGTTGAAGTATGGTTGGGGCGGAATTTTGCACAGATGGACCCCCTGTACGTCGGACGTGTGCAAGTACCTGTCCAGGGGTTGCGAGCACCGAGGTATCGCAGGCTCGCAGGCCCTTATAGCTGCAACCATCTGCGTGCGTTTAGGACCTTCAACCCATTTTCGATTTTACCGGAAATATTGCCGCTAGAAGTTGCATAGCAGCGAGCTACAAAGTTGGTTCATGTAGGTCCTTTCGTGTAGGTCACGCACCCGTGCAGGACCGGAGCCCACGAAAACATCTCAGGCAGGAAGCGCAGGAGGGGGTCCAACCCCCCCTCCTATGTGACCCCGGTTGGGTCGTCTAGCTGGTAGAAGTGGAGGATTGGGGCCAGAGGGGCAGACGACAGAGTCCAATCATGGGAGAAAAACAAAAAAAACAAAAACTTGCACACGAAGACCAAGACTGCTCAGCAGCTTTTGATGCACAGACGTGGGCTTTTGATGCACAGACTGCTCCACCATGAAGTTTGTCGACATACCCATTGCTTTGTGCTGGAGTGTACCGTTGCGTGAGTCTTCGTTTGGCAGAACGTCCTGAAGCCTTTCACATTTTCTCTACAGCGGGATGTGTACGACGGCAGCAGTTGAACCCACCCTGATGGGCCCCGGCCCCCGTTCCATGTTGCGGGGTAAGTCTCAGCATGTTACAACTAAGAGCCCACGCATGCACTGATCCACTGGTCTGTCGGGAGGATTGTCTGACATGTACGTCCGAAAACAGGCCTTCTTGTTGCATTTCCCCAACTCATCTGTTTTTTCTACAACAGCAGTGTAGGCTCGTAGTCTCCCTCTCCCTCTCCCTCTCCCTCTCCTTCCCCCTTCCCCCCCCCCCTCCCTCTCTCTCTCCTGACATTGGCACAGCATGCCTCTGTAACCATGTGGTCCTGCCCGAAAATTCACAGTTCGTTATACAGCAGTGGGGGCCCTCGATAAGGCCGTCCCCCCCGGTGTTTGCCATCGGGATTGGGTTTTCGTCGCTTGGCAACGACGTTGTGAAACAAGCCAAATCACTTCGTGAACTCGGCAACCAGGTTACCGTTTTTTTTTTTACCTCCGTTTCTTTTTTGGCGGTAACCATAGTGATGGTCTAAATAGTAGATCATGTTGTGCGGGGTCGAGAACCCTCACTCCGCGGAAGGGGGATGATCGCACCACGTTGTGTTAAAATGGTCAAGCACCCTCGAGGCAGTTACACAGTGCTTACAACTGTCTCTGGAAGTGAAAGCACCAGAAAATA